CGCTGTGCGAAGTACGACATAGGGGTCTGCTCGGCCTACTTCCCGCCGCCGCCTGTGAAGGGCAGCGCTGACGTTTATCGCCGTACCTGCGATGCTCTGACCAACTGGCTTCGCACTCTGCCGTACCTGGGCACCAAGCGGGTGCTCCCGATCTTCTGCATCGACCTGAACTCGGGGTTTGGCTTGCAGCAGCTAGACGGGGACAGCACTTGGCGGGCAGTCGAGTCCGACGTCTTCGGCCCCACGGCCAAGGACAAGCAGCGCTACGCGGCCGACTGCATCCTGCCGCTGATGGAGGAGCTCGGCATGGTGGCGGTCAACACCCACATCGGCAGCGGCCCCACGTTCTTCGGGGCCAAGACCGCCACGCATATCGATTTCGCGTTCATGCCGAAGACTCTGCTGGGCGACAATAACTCGGCGGGCCCCCTTCGACGGCTCGGGCGTGACCTACAGGTTGTCTCTACGGTGCAGGCGCGCGATCACGTGCCAGTACATCTGTGCATGGAGTACTCAAGAACAGACTACGGACGCTCACATCCACTGCGACATGGTCGAGAACGTACGGCTCGGCTATGTGCCACGCCTCGTTCGTTGGAATCGCGAAGCTCTTATGCAGTCACTTCGAAGTGGACAGGGGCGTGCCGATTTTCTCTTGGAACTGGAGGCATATATGAGATCTACCGAGGATACGTGGAAGCAGATACAACTAGAGGAGCAGACACCAAACAACGACGGGGGTTTCTCCATGGATGCATTACTCACGACCGGCAGCAATCACTTTGCGAGGTCCCCCGAGTACCGACCTGGATATCGTACGCTTGCGGCGTCTATTCAACCTCTCCTCGACCGGCAACGGGAACTTCGGCGCCAACTTGGCGCGCACACTGAGGTATTAAGCGATGAGATTGACGAGTCCCTCAGGCCAGCTCTTTAGGAGGTACAATGGCAACTTCGCTGTCGTACGAAGTGGCTGAGATCTGCACGACGGCAGTACTGGAGACGCTGGCGGACACGGTTGACGAGCTGAACGAGGCGCGCAGGCAAGGACGACGGGCTGAAGTTGCCCGACTCTCTCGGGTTCTTGCAGGCACAGGTGTTGGCCCTCGTAAGCGCGACTACCGCAGGGCACAGTTGCGCTACCGACGGGAGAGGAGCTTGCTGAGCGCTGGGCCTTACCAGCAGGCCATGGTGGCATGGCCGCCGCTAGGATCGACTGGCTCAAGGAAGCTGGTGACTACGTCTACGATGACACCAGCGGCCAGGAGGCTCATCACTTCATTGCGCCGTGGACAGAGGAGGGGCTGGCTTGGGCAAAGAATCGCATTCAGGAGATTAGTAGATGGATCAGACGAGCTCCTAAGCGACGCGCTTGCCCGCCCTGGTCAGCATCTTTAGAGCTATGGTGGATGGTCTTTCACCCTTACCGTCGTCTCTCCCGACGATAGTATGGTGTTGGCTACGAGATCCCGCATATTGACTTAGAGTCCACGCGCAAGTTCATGCTGACTTTCATGCATCGGCTTCGCAGATCTGGCCAGGTGCCTCTGGTGTGGCACCTCAGTCAGGGCATAGCGCTCACCTGGAAGCGAGTGATCCACCTCCTCGACCCGTTCGGTAAAGGCTTCATGGCGACGGCGATCGACACGACCGAGCTGCACACCGAGCCCCTGTTCGCTCACGGATGTATTCCACACCAGCGACGCGAGACGGCTATGCTTGGTCAGCAGCTTTGCACATGGAAGTTGTGCCGCCTCAACATTAACCACGTCGCCGGCTTGAAGGACATCGCCAAAGCCTTCACCCCCACGGACTGGCAGAGCCTGACGGACGCCAACGAGAGCATCATGAGGGAGGACCATGTTTCTTTCGGTCGCCAGAGGTCTCGATTTGCTGCAGTGATGTTCGGAGATATATGTGTTCGCCCCTGCGTGGGGGCAATGATTGGAGACCCTTGGGCGGTCAAAGTATTCGTGCGCGATGTCAGTGCAGTTTTTCGACAGTGCAGGAGCAATGCGAGCAGCTTGGCCCCGAGTCTGCTACTTGGTGCCAGCTCAGCCTCCACCACGATGGCGAGGATATCGCCTTGGACTTAGCATGTCATTCCTACGTGGACGACGCGATTCGGAAGATTGTGACAGAAGAGCCGTCGGCTCGGGAATTATCACGGTGGTCGCGTGCCTACGACTTGCTTCTCTCTGCTGAGCTACGTCGCCATGGCTGCGCCCTCAACCCAGCCAAGAACGTTAGCCTCTTGTCGTTCGTGGGCGAAGGATTGCACGCTCGCCGACGGGAGGCTATTGAAAAAAACAAAGGTCACTCTTGCCGGGGCCCCTGCTGACGCCACTCGTCACCTCGGGGGCCAGGTCATGGGCAGCTGTTCTTTTAGGGCCGAGCTGAGTACCCGGGTGACGGCTATTTCGTCCGGTATCTATTCCATGGGTAGGTATTGGTACTCCAAGCGAATCGCCTACACCGAGAGGCGCGCCGTCTTCCTGGC